TTGCGTTGTGCGGCTGCCAGAAACAAAACCGTGCGACTACTGCTTTGTGGTTGAGCGGGCAGGTTAGTCAAAGCGGACAATATCATGCTACGGGGTTCTGGGGGCGTTACAGATAGTGCTCTAAATGAAGCATTTGATCAATCAACCCTTTTAAGCCTGTGAACTTCTTTTAGTAATTTGATAATTGAAAGAAAAATACTCAGCACAGGGTGCCACTTTGTTTAAATCAGAACCTCTATATATGACTTGCTTGTCAACTTTCAAATATCACTTGAATACATTTGCAGTGGATTTGCATAAAGATGTTATCCTCTATTACCTGTACAGGAAATACACAACAAGAACCCTAAAATTGTGATAAAGATGTGCCTTTTGGGACAAAGCCTGTTCCTATTGTGCCTTGTGCCTCATGGGCTGAGTTGTGTGGCCCATTGAACCCGTTGTGCTCAGACAAGGCCAGGCCCTGATTGTACACCTTGACGCTTTTGCATCGACACACCTTTCACAACACTGACGATGATCTAAAGGCCCAGGACCTGCTGTGACCTTAACTGTCTCCCTGGACAACGATTTCTTGCATTGTTTGTGCGTGCGGAAAGGACCTCCAATTTATATGATACTAAACCTCAATAGCTCAGCTTCAATAAAGAAACAAAACGCACGTAACAATTACAAAAATAATTTTTTTGACTCATTCAGACTCTCTTTATCACATTCTCCTATTAAGGAAATTTCATCCAAAGAATTCCTACGTATTTGCTCACATAGATCATGAATCATTGAGTGTAAAAAACATGCTGACACTTGAGGCACTGTCTGACCAATTTCAGGTTCTTTCTTCAAACTGCCAAGAACTTTGACGACGTCAAAGATCTTGGCACTCAGCACCAAACAAACAGGGTGTATATCCTGCATTGATCTACAAATTAGTGGATGTTTGTTATTTTTAGTCTGGTCATATTTGAATCAAGTCACTGATTAGAAGTTGGTTAGGACATCTATTTTCATTGGCAAAATTCTAAGATACAAATGCATCTAATCTTTTGAAAGTTCAGCTACATGATTTCCTTGCTAGGTTCTCAAATATTTGCTGTCTTTGATGTCAGTATATTTATTGTTTTTTCACAATGTTCGGTGTCGCAAACATTGCTTCTCAGCTTGCAATATGCATCGACAAAAAACGTCAGCAGCTGGACAGCCAACAAGATGGTAACAATAGTGATTCTCTTAGCGTTGAGGTAGGTTAATAGTTGTTCTTCTTTCTTTCTGTCTGTAATATACGAGTTTGCGATTTATGCTAATGGTTCCTATTACCTTCTCCAGGCCTAATGGTTTATTTGACTGAACTGCAGGCAGATGATCTGGTTAAGGAGGGATTATCTGATCCATCGAGAGCCAAAGAACGTTTAGTTGAGGAAAGTGACAGGTGAACTAAGCAAGTGAGAACTCTTTGGTTTTAGTTATTGAACACTAATGTACCATGATTGGTGTAGGTAGGGATGTCTAGGATTCTCCAATATTATCAAGCTCTCACCTTTATAGTTCATGAAACGAACAACATCTTTATATTCTGGGGAGACATGGTAGGGTCAAGTAAGGAAGTGTGATAACAATGGTAACAAGTAATGGAACCTTCAGTCTATTCATCATGAAAGAATGTGATTGATGCTGCAATTATGAGAAAAAACACACCAAGTAGATTGAGTTCATTATCCTTTAGGCTAAATATTTCTGCTAACTTTCATTTATGTATATATGTGTGTGTGCGTGTGTGCTAAATAAGTTGATCATCTGGACTAGTTCTTTTGAGGGAGGCCTATAAATTGCAGGGGCTCAAGAAGACAGAAGCACCCTAAGGAAGATATGAGATCAAAACAAACTGATAAAATGAACTTACTACTAGTTTTTGTTGTTTATTTAGTCATACCAGAAATTCCAGCCTTTGTATTCAGATTGTATTTTATGCTTTTGGTTCAGAAGCTCCGACACCCACATTTTGTCATCTCAAGTCCTTGCATGACTTACAACTGATGACTGATCACAAAATATTATTACATAATGCACATGCACATGGCCTAATTTTTTTGAACATGTGCACAACTTAATATGCTCTATAGGTGTTGTACATCTTACGCTTGCTGAAATATTTATATTAACCTATGCGAAGAATGCCACGGTTATTGTTTTACTTCATGACTACATCGCTTAGGCAGAACTTCTATCTCCCTGCTAATACCACATAGGACTACCTCTTTATATTTGCATAATGGTGTCTGGTTAGTTCCTATGAAATATATCTTTCGATATTGACTAGTTTATGTAACATCGTGTATCAAATAAGACAAATTGCAATGAAGACTGGGGACTCATAATATGAGTTGATGGTGTTGCTACATCAGTTCTTTTCAGATGAAAACATGTCGGTATTAATTCCCATTATATTTACTTTGTGTAATGTTTTGAATTTGTCTTATTATTTGTTTGTAGCACTTCAACTTCCGATGGTTTTCATAAATCTGGAACAACCATTCATAGGTATAGTTCTACGCCGCAATATGATGTAACATCTGCTAATTTAGAATCTTCAAATCATAAGAGGAGGGGATCAGCAGGTGTAGTTGAATCCATGATGCTTCTGAACTCACACAACTACATGCATGCTCCATTCACTCAGGTTGATATGATTTTCACATGCTAACTTACTATCTTTTTACCCTTCTGAGTCTTCCATGATTAATAATTTGACAATCTTTTCTTTCCAACACTCCCTCCCCCCTATATCATAGGATCCACCAATTATGACCGAAGATATGCATGAGGAAAGGCTCCATGCTGTTGAAGTCTTGGGTGATTCATTTGTAAGTTCTAATATATACAATACCATCTTCTACAAACATTTTAAACAATTTAGATCAGCTCCTTTATAGCACTGCTTATGCCATGTCATGGAACAGTTGTGGATGGTGTAGGGGTTGAGATGCTTATTAATGATTTTGGTGACAGGGTGGATCCTTGTGAATCATTTAGGATCTTACTTTTCCTACCTTTCCAAAATGACTAGACTTGAAAATAAAGCACTGTATTTTCTGAAGTTGAACTGGTTTCTTTTCTTCCTCTTTTGTCCCAGGCGGAGGTAACATTTTTAGACCTTAACTAATTGGGATAAAAGGCTTGTAGATGTTGATGTAGTGACATTTTTAGAAACTTTATTCTATGTAGTAATTATCTTTGAAAGAGTTCCCTAACTGAGAACTTTCTTGTCTAAATTTTGTCAGAGCTTCTCTGCCCAGTTGGAGAAGGACATACTATCTTCAGGTAACAAGCTTAATTTCGTATTTATGAGTGGTGTCTATTAGGGTGTCACATTCTGTCTTACCCTTTATGTACCTTTTTATCTTTTGTTTAAATATAACATATTGGGTTCATCAGAAGATTGGGATTATTACTGGAAGGTGATGATATATCATATGTATAAAAACAAAACCTTTTTTTTCCTTCTCCTTATTCTATTATTTAACTTTTTGTTTACAAATTGTAAATCCGGATCAGATATGTCGGCATTTAAAGCTGCAAACCCAGATGCTGTTTTTGAAGATTTTATTCGATGGCATTCCCCGAAAGATTGGGAGGATGATGACAGTTGTACATCATCATCTTCTACTGTTGAAACAGGAGAGTTGAAAAAGAAATGGCCTCCTCGAGGAAGACTTTCAGAGAGAATGTCGGATTCTGGTAATTCATGGCGCAAAATATGGAATGATGCACCTCCTTTGCCAGTTTCAGAGCAGAAGCCACTTATGGATCCCAATAGAGAAGGAGAAAAGGTACATAATTTGTATTTTCTTTGTCCGAAGTAAATGGTTAGTATTGGCCACATTTTGTCTTCCCTGTCAATAAACCAAGCGGTAGTATTGTTGTAACGGAAGTACATACCCACGGCCTAGCTTCACTATTATGTTGTAACATAAATAAAGAACTTTTGTGCTTGAATTGTGTACTCCCTACAGAATCTTCCAGCCATTCAAACTAATTACTTTAAGGAGCATTCTAGCGACTAGCACAAACTCTCTAGAACTATATAGGCCTCTCTTGTGGCATTTATTATTGTTATTGTCACTGTTCCTCTAGAACCGAACGGCCATAGCATAAAAGTTGTTCAACTTGAGTTTTTTTTTTTGGCTATGTATCAACATTCACTCTGATGCCATTTGTCAGTTGTCACAGGGTTTTCCGCCAAGTCCTTAACTAACCTTGTGGCCTTAGTACTTACGGCTGTGTGAGAGCTAAGTCAACCTGAATAACTTGCTTGTTTGACTTGGGTGGCAGTAGTCACACAAAGGCTTAAGCAATTTCTAGAGCTCCTTGGGATGCTTTCTTGTATTTTATGGATTGTTTGTGGGTTTCTTAGATGGTTTGCATATAAGGAAGGTCTCCTTTTTATATAGTTAACATGAACTTTTAGGTTTCTTAGAATTGACTAGAACTAGAATAATTCATTCATTCTCTTTATATGAACTCTTTTAACTGCTGCTATAGAATATACAAGACACCATCTAAATATGGAAAGAATTCTAGAGATTTCAATATGATAATCCTAGAACATCCTGGAAATATCTCAACTTGCTTAGAGAATTCTAGAACTCTGTATAGTTCTTGGTGAATCTTTTCTCCAAGATTATCTTTTTTAGGATTACATACGAAAGATAGAAAGTAAGAAGTACAAGTACTCTCTCCCGAGGGTGGGGAACACATAAATTGACTTATCATGAGGGTAAGTCAGCAACACGGCATACAAGTTTGGTACCCCGATATAATATTGTTATTCTTCAAAATGTTTATATAGATTCCTGTATTGTGACCAAGTGGCATTTGACCCAATCTTATCAGTTGAGTCTCTACAACCCTCAGGTTGTGAGTTAGAGTCTTTATAGGCAGTAAAAGAATGCTTATTACTCCCTCCGTCCCGGAATAGTGTCCAGTTCTGAAAAATAAGAACGTACTTTCCCATTCTACCCTCAATTATGAGATGGAGAAATTAATTAATCATTCTATAATGAAGAGTAAAACTGTCATTTAGTTTATTAAAAGTGCAATAATTACACTTCCCTAAAAACGATGTGCCTTTTTCATTGTGGACACTTATTTTGGGATTGAGGGAGTATCATAATATAGGTGGCAGTGAACATTTCTTGAGCTGTGAACAATTTAAGCAGCCTCATAACTTCATATTGCTCTTGCAATTCCCTAATGATTTCTTTGGTGGTCCCTCAAATTGTTTATGGTTACACAATTTCATCAGTTATGATATGTTAATTTAATTTTTTTTTTCACTGGTTGTCCTAGGCTTGACACTATACATGATATGCTAAAAGAAGTTTCAAATAGGGAAATTGTCCAAAATAGCCATTTTGATCGCACCAATACACGTTATAGCCGCTTTTCTACATAACTGACCAAAATAGCCAAGATTTCGCAAGTAACATTTTAGCAATTTGTGAATCCACTTTTATTTTCACAAAGCAACAATTTTGCAAGTTGCTAAAGTGCTACTTGCGAAATGCTGACATGGAAGTGCCACTTACGCACCTTGCTAAAGCGCTGCTTGCCACGTCCGCATTTCACAAGCAGCGCTTTAGCAACTTGCTAAAGTGTTACTTTATGAATACTAAATTCATAAAAAGTAGATTTTGCAAGTTGCTAAAGTGCTACTTGCTTGGCTATTTTAGTCAATTGAGTAGAAAAAAACGGCTATAAAATGAATTGGGGGGCGGGGGGTTCCTGAATGACAATTTTGGACAATTTCCCTTTCAAATATTATTATGTCAGAAATTTGGATAAATTTGGCATTACTGTTTCTATCATTGGTTTTTGAATCACTCCATGTTCATATAAGGTCAACCTAACTTATTTACTCCTTTGCTCCAAAGATACTTCACTATTTGGAAACAGTTCCACCACATCAATTGCTGGAACAAATGGTCTGCACCGCCTTCCGAGCAGCAGCCGACACTCTTAACCAAACTAGCTTTGGTGGGCTAAAACACATGACAACAAAAATGGATCAACTATATCTCACTTTGGCTTCTGTATTAAGGCCTTTGCAAGGTTGGTATATCGTATCTTTTCTTTTTGTCTTAATTAATAATCATGGTTCTTGTTTTTATGTAATTTGATGTTAAATGTTTGAATTGCAGCAAACAAGTTACCTGGGGATATTGAGATAATTGAAGACATAAGACGACTTTGTGTTGTATTCGAGCATGTGGAGAAGCTAATAATGGTGGCAGCTTCTCTTCATCGCAAGTTCTTGCAAGCACCGCATCTTGCACAAGCTATTTTCGTTGACTTTTACGACTTTTATGTACGGAAAATGGGAAAAGGCTCCGTTAAAGGAGATGCAAACAAGGTATGTCTATATACCCCACAACAAGATCATCGGTTCTATAAGATGTCAAAGATGTCCATATGCCCTAATTGGTTGCTTTATAGGACTTATAGGTTAGGACCAAACAATTATGTGTACAATTTAAATGTGTTGCAATAAAAAAGACACATAATTTTATGATTATGTAATTATTTCACTTTTGAATTAACTGAAGGACAATTTACCTTTAATAATAGATGAGGTAATGGAAATTTTCATCTCATAGTTGAGGGTAGAATTGGAAAGTAGGTACTTACATTTGAAAGTGGACCATTATTTTGAGATAAACTAAAATAGAAATATGGATATTTATTTTGGGACGGAGGAAGTATTTAGGTAAGTACATTTAGCAGTTAAATATTATATTCATGATGAATACCATGAATAATGAAAATGCATAATATTTATGGATATTTAGTTAAATAATATAAATGCCTACTCAGTTATCCTGTAAATGAGAATCATTAAAGTTTGTTCAATTTTCATTTTGTGCGTCCCATTTATATGAATGTTTTGATTATTCACGTTACTTGACGGAACCATCAAAATGAAGAATGTGTGAAATTACACATGTACCCTCACGGATGAATGTTTCTAAAACTTGAGCAGGTCGGTGATTGGTTTGTGCAGGAAGTGAAGAAGCGGCAAGAAGTAAGGGTGAAGGAGAGAGATGTGATAACAAATATGTTTGTTCAACCGTCGGCTAACCAGTCTTGGCGGAAAGTGTTGAGCATGGGGAATTTACTGAACGGGCACGAACCAATTCTTCGGGAAATCGTATTCTCGCTGCGAGATCGAGTGGATAGCAGTTACCATGCTCCTAGGAATTCATGGAGTCATGAGCAGGAAATAGAAACTCACAGGATGTACATTTGTGGTACCTCAAATGATCTAAGGGTAGCTCTCTCTGTTACTTCTTGTGATTGATAATATACATCTTTTTATTTATGTTTTTTCTATAAATTGATGAAATCTTATATTACTAATTATGTTTTTCTATACTTGTATTAAAAATATTATTTAAAACAATTTTTCATTGATTATAACATATATTAAATTGTCAAAAGATAGCAGTAGCGCATGTTTTGTTATTGGGGCTAATAATATCCCAAGGATAGTGATTTTTCACGTTCTAATCATAAATTTGTTGCACTATTTCTCCTTCTATTACCCTACTTTCTACCACCACCACGGTCACTATTGCCACCACTACCACTAAATAATGTTATCATTAATTTTTCATTGGTACATTGTGTTTATAATATAAACAGGAAAGTATGAAAACGTGATAAAGGGGTATTTTCATTATTTTATTTCAATTCCAAATCTAAATTCTGTCAATCAAACATGCAAATTCAATTTCTATGAGAGATTCTACTTGTTTCCTGCTAACCAAATAGGTGGTCAATTCATTTGATGGATTTCATTTCACTCTTTTCGAATTTCAATTCTTTTGATGGATTTTAATTTCACCAAATTTCATTACGTATGTTAACTTATCTGTAGGTGGGGCTATTCTTTAGGTTTTTAGTGCCTAGGACGGAACCACTAAAAAATTCCCCTAGTGAAAGGAAAAAAAAACACTACATCTTTTTTGTGGTTCGCAACAATGTTGAACATAATGTTAGGCTATCTCCAACTATTTGCTGCACCGAAGTGGTGTAAAATTTACTGTAACGGGTAATTCATCTCCAACCCGTTACACCATTTTTATAACCAAATAAAACATTTCAAGTACATTTCTAATTTGTAACTTATATAGATATTTAGTCATGCTCTTTGTTAGTTCCTTTTTTGCAAATTCGACTCATTATTTTTTGGGCTTGGGTGCATGTCAGTATATTTACAATTTTATTATCGTGTCTGATGACATATGAAAAAACACATAATTTGTTTTGTCCAATTCTAATACAGAACCAAACAATATTCTTTTTATTGTATTCATTAGAATCTCTACATGTATTTATAGTAGTATAATCAAATACAAATCTCAAAAAAATTAAGAACCAGAGAAATATGTGTTGTTTCATATTATGAAACAAATAATACATGTAAAAAGTTTCACATTATGAAACAAATATATTACGAAACAAACATATGTGAAATAATACCTTGAATTCTAGTCTTAGATTAGAAAATTATGTAAAACAATATATTAAGATCGGTTTTCATGGGTTTGTATCCTTTTTTATGGTTCTCACATTATTCGCTCCATGTATATAAGCTTTTGATCAAGTGAGACTACTCGGTTTTCATGAAACCAAAAACAAAATAATACAAAGGGTTTCAAACTTATCTCTATTTGGGTTTTAATCTTCATATTTTTTATGTAGAAAATAATGATTATAATATGAAAGAGATTAAAGAAAAAATGTTAAAATATAGGAGAATAAGACATATTTACCTGTTATTAAGGGTGTGTTTGATACCTAAACAAGACGAGACAAGATAATTGTTAGCGTTTGGTAAGGCAGGACCAAAAGAATGAACGAATTAATCCTGATGAGTTTTTTATATTTTGATTAATTTATGTAATTTTTAAATTATACTAAAATAAATATTTTTTATAACAAAATATATTATTAGAAAATTTTCATAAAACCGATTGAAACGACACCAAAAATATGAAGTTTATTAATTTTCAATTTTTATTTTATATCTTTTTTATATTATCTTTAATTAATATTTAATAAATTACATAAATTAATCAAAATATAGAAAATGTATGAAAATAACATTTTGGGGACAATAAAGTGAAAGTTTAAAGATAATAAAATACAGTAAATAAAATTTAAAGAACAAATAAAATGTAAAGAGGAAGACGTATTTGCAAACTTATAATATGGATGGATATACAAAAACTTATTGAGTTCACTCGCCTGACCCTAACAACTTTAGTAACTTGCTAACGCCTCTACGGTCCATCGTCGCTTCTCAATGCCACTTGTATTAGATTACTAATGAATGTTTGTGTAGGTAAGAATAAATGATACAACACATAACCACAAGGAAGGTGCTTGATTGGTTTAAGCTTGACTCCAAAGGTCAAAAGTATCAGGAGGTCACAGGTTCAAATTTTCTTGTGGCCACGGAGATTCAAATGCGATGACTCCGGACTATCTACAAAGCAGATGGTTGCTCTGAAATTAGTCGACTCACATAGTGGGTTGGATATCCAGGTTAATTAAAAAAAATCATAATTTAATCTTAACGATTGTTTATTTGTTTTTAATCATTTGTGCCTATCCAATAAGTCATATTAGCTTTCATAACTTTAGAGGTCGTCGTCAGTCGGAAAGAGACCAAACATCGACCAAAAATGAGTGGTGGGTGGGGGAAAATAATCAACTTTTTAAAAATTAAAATTTTAATTAAAAGACGACGTATTTTTAATTTTTAAAATATATCAAAACAAAAAATTTAATAATTGTTTAACAATATTTATTCATTTTAATAAATAATATTAATATTGATGTCATAATACTTGATTGAATAAATAGTCTTGTCGCAAACCAATTATTTTATGATTTTGTTGATAAAAACATAAATAAGTAATTATTTTAATTAAAAATACAAATATAATCGGTGGCGTTTTCACGATGTAAACGATTACCAACCCTTGATAAAGAACTACAAATAAAAAAATTGTAAAAATAATTCAAACGTTACAGAAAAAAGGTATGAGAAAATCATTATTTATCTGTAAGCATATGCTAAAAAGTCAAGATTTGAGGTTTCTTGTTCAACCCTTAATACTGACACTATTTAAAGTAGGTCGATAACTCTGTATAATTTCTCTACTGCTACTGTAGGATAAGGTTACAGTATGTGTGTTTTTATGTTGTATAAATCCACAATTTGCGTATTTATGATGTTGGGAAAACATTTTATATGTAAAAGTTTTTATGAACGAGCTTAAAACATGATAAATATACAGGCATCAATTAAAAACTTAAAACTGTTGAATTTCATGATTGACAGATATCCTGCTTTAAAACCTCTTTCATAAAAGTATTTTACAGAATTAGTATGTACGAAATGAACGTGCAAGCTCTTAATTTTCTGCTTTTAATCGCCTGTTTATTTGATTTTTGGTGGACAGATTGAAATGTCGTCTCATCAATCTATTTTCTTGCAAGTCATCTTATATATGATTATTGGAGTTTGTTTGGTTTAAAGTGAGTCACTTCTTCCATCATTTTCAAGCAAATTTTCATTTGATGGTTGGGGGTCATATGAAGACAAATAGAAGCAAGTCGACCATCAACGACACAAAATGCATATCGTGATGAAAAAATGCGGGTCCGTATATTTTCAAATAAACCAGTTACAATAAGACCCGCAGAAACATATATGGGTTCAAGTAAAGGCTCTCCCAAATATTGGGTAGTTGTTGAACCAAGCCAAATAGGTGAGAAATGTAGTTTCTATCATAAGTTCATGTTATCTGGACATGTCTCAATTTACAGATCTAGTTTTTATCAATTAGATTGCTCTCAACAGTTTCCATCGTCTTATTTTTACTCTTAGGTCCCATGTGGTTTGTAGGAATGAAATGGATTTGGGGAGATTTGGATTTCAAATCTATTTCAATTCCATGTTTGGTTTATTGAATTGTTAAGATTTGAAATCCTATGATTTAATTGAAATCCTATAAACATGGGATTTTGAAATCCTTAGGGAACGCTCGGGATTTCATGGGATTTTGTATGATTGTATGAAATAAGGTTTTAAAAATGTCAAAAATTTGTGTTTTGTAATAATCGATTAATAAAAATGTAATTTAATTATTTATAAATTTTTTTATAAATAATGTAATCTAATGCACCAACAATTTCAAATCTATCCTGATCTAAATCCCTCCATAAAATCCAACTTCCTCAAAAATCAATCCCGCAAACCCAAATGGAACCTCAATGGATTTCATGTGATTGTGGTTTTGTTTTCCCCAAATGCATATATGGCTACTCACAACGGTTCCACTGAAAACATCATCAAGATTCCTCGATCACTTCTTATTTAGTCAATTCTCAACAATGACAGTCGATAATTGGAGTTTCACAATAATGTCATTGTTAATCATTAATAGACCACAACTCGAAAACATTTTACCAAACTATAAAATCCGTAACTATAATTTTATTTTTCAAACGGTATTTATTTATTTTATTGTTTCATAATTATATAGAGAGCGATAGGAACAAAAGATCGTATGAGGATGGAAGATAAGGCGGGAATTATAAGAAAAGAACTCGACCTCTGATCGCTTTTAATCCCATTCCCACCCGTTGTATTTTACGATAATTAATTTGGTATATTTCATTAGTGTTGATATTCAATTAGGATTAATGTAAGAGCGAAACTCCCTTCTTACCTTTTTCACCTAACTTTCATTCTCACAAGAACCCAATCTCATATATGTATATAGACTTGGGGTTATGTGAGACCAGACTGTTTTCGTGAGACCCGTGTTACTACTTTTTTACACTTGAAACCTCACAACAAAACATTGTGAAAGTAACCTTCATAGTGTTTTTGCTGTGAAGATTCAACTCTTTTTTTACCTTCACAACATTTTGTTGTGAAACTTCAAGTATAAAAATTGTGTTTCACATGTCTCACAAAAATAGTCTTGTCTTACATGAACCCCCTCCTTGTACACAGACATATGTATGTATGTATAGGACGTCTCAAATGCAACTCATCACATTTGTACAAACAATACAACTCAATCAATTAAGATATTTATGAAAATGATAAGAACTCATTTATTATGATTTAAATATATATGGAAGATGACTACGGTTTATTAATTATGATCAATACTTTATATTAAAAAATAATAAAAACTTCTATAAAATCATATATTCATCAAGTTAAATGAACGGCTAAAATTAAGTTATGTTAATTATACAAATGTAATAAATTATATAATAAATCATATATATATATATATATAAAATATATGGTATATGACAAAATTGAATAGTGATAGAGTCTCTTTTTCTCCAAGAAAATCCATCCATTCGTACATTCTTATTACTTTTCTATTTACGTCCCATCATCATATCACCATCTCTCTCCAAAAAACCACTCGCCATCAATTTCAAACCAACATCAACAATCCCTAAAACAATTACAGACAACCTCTTCATCTTCTCCCCATTTTCCCATTACATTCCCAACCTTCACTTAACCGCAATTTTCAGATGGATTTACCATCCGGATCCGGGTCTCATGACCCGGGAGAGCCTGACGGAACATCGTCCACAGGTGGTGGTGCAGACGACTCTCCCGCCGGAAGGTCAACGGTTCATACACCACCACCACCACCACCACCACCACCACCGCCGAGCAGATATGAGTCTCAGAAACGACGCGATTGGAACACCTTCTTACAGTACCTGAGCAACCACAAGCCGCCGCTAACGTTGGCCAGGTGCAGCGGAGCTCACGTGATCGAGTTCCTCAAATACCTTGACCAGTTCGGGAAGACGAAGGTGCACGTGACTGGTTGTCCGTACTTCGGTCACCCAAACCCACCGGCGCCATGTGCTTGCCAGCTCAAGCAAGCTTGGGGGAGCCTAGACGCGCTCATCGGGAGGCTCCGAGCTGCCTACGAGGAGAACGGCGGCCGACCTGAGTCAAACCCGTTTGGAGCCAGAGCCGTGAGGATGTATTTGAGAGAAGTGAGAGAAAGCCAAGCCAAGGCTAGAGGTATTCCGTATGAAAAGAAGAGAAAACGACCTGCCCGTGGGACGGCGGCGGCACTGAAAGTGTCGGTGGCTGTGGGTGGTGGCAGCGCTCGAGATGATGGTAGTGGAGCCGGTGAAGCCATTTCTAGCAGCGCTCCGGCTCCTTCCACACTTTAAATATCAAGTTAAACTTGATTAATGTTTATAATTAATAGTAATTAGCTTTTCTATCCAATATTCTTATTATAATTATAATAACAATTATCGTAAATCCACTGTTAATCGAAGTATTTCTTCGGTTTATGAAAAGCTCGAGCCGAGGTCCTTCCGCAAAAGCCCAGCCGGAGCCGGAGCCAAAGGCACAGGGATGTGAAGCACCTAGGTATTAAAGGTTAAAACAAATTAAAATGTAATAAAATTTGTTTTAATTCTATTGTTTTTATTAACCTAGATATTCAACTCGCTATGTGAGTCGATTAATCCCAGGACGACCATCTGCTTTGCTGATAGTCCGGAGTCACCGTATTTGAACCTTCATGGTCGCAAGTGGACTTTTGTTTCTCCTTAGATTTGAAACTGGAATCTCCTGGTATTTTTGACTTTTTGAGTCAAACTCAAACCAATCAAGCACCATCTTTATGATTAATTCTAATTTATTATTCATAACAACGAAATTCCCCTTTTTTAATTAGTATCTATACCATACATATTTTGACTGCAATTAATTTTATAATATGATAAATTATCAAATTATATTGTAATAAATGTGACATTAAATCATCTTTTTTATTGATGTTGTTTATTCTGTAAAACAGATAGCAAAAGAAATTAAACGTTAATTTATAATGTATTTTTGTCGTATATTGAATTGGACATCTAAGATGGTCCCTGGTGCACCAAATGCAGATTGCATACACACGTGGGGTTGCTTTATAAGCTGCAGTTTCAATCTCAGGTGTCTGCACCTACGGATCCATTCCATCATTTCAGAAGGGTGGTTCAAAGATTTAAATTTTGATCATCCACAACTTCACGTAACCTGTTTTTGAGGTATTTTTTCTTGACTCATTTAACGGTTGAAGCTAGCAGAGGGGGTTTCAAATTGAACCTATGTGTTTGAATAAAGTCGTCTTACCTTTTTGACAACTGAGTTACACGTTAGAGACGTTGAAAGATTAGAGGAGACGGGAAAAAAAAAACTCCCCATGATGTCGGCAAAATATTATGAAGAATAACTTACGACAAAAAATGTACGCAAATCCTATGAAACAACATAATTCATATATTTTAAAACACGACACACGTCTGTGTGTCAAAACATTCGTCAAAATTCATAACATGACATGTACAAATAATTTGACAAAGGATGAGATGATTTCTTAAATTTATTTTTAAAATAAATTTCATGCATGAATTTTGGTCAATAATTCAACAAGCACATGGTTCAAACTTAAACAATCTTTCTGACTGTCATGGTCGCCTTAACATAATCACATATTTAACTGTTACTCAAGACGACAATGCTGCAAATATCAATTCTTCTAACGATTATTCACTAGGAATACACTCACTACCCCCATCGATCATCACATGAAGACGATTCATGCACACACATGCAACTGTATATTCATAATAACACTGATCAGGTGCAACTATAAACGTACCATACATGAGGATTCTTGCTCCCATCGTCATGATTCTCGATGCTAGTGACTCTATTGACCTAAAAATATCCTATCTTAAAGTGTCTAATCGGGTATTCTCGCTTTCATTCACTTAAAAGAACACTGTCTAAGGGGTTCTTCGATTCGTTTTATGTTAAGACATGTATGGATAAAGTTGTCTGTATGTTAATAGATAAGTTGTTGTGCTGAATAAACCATCTGAATGATAAAAATGATTATTTTACCCTTGGTTTTACATTGACCATTATAGATCAAATTTCTCAAAACAACAATATTTATAGACCAAATGAAACCCCAAATTAGAAAACATACCCAAATCTATAATAATAAATCAGTAACAAGATAGAGAAAATAATAAAAATAGTAACAAATCAGTAACAAGATTCAGATCGAGAACGAGGTCCAACGATGGTGAGGCAAAGGGTAACTGCCGGAGGGAGGGCGACCGACAATGGTGAGGTAGAAATGAGGAAGATGCAAAAGCCGGAGATCGAAGAAGCAGAAGAAATGAGATCGATGGAGGAAGAAGCAACGACCGGCGATGATGAGGAAGAATCAACAACCAAAGTTGGTTCTAGATGGTGAGGAAGAAGCAACGGCAGATCGATGGAGATAGAGCTTGGACCAGGAGAGCAAACACAATGAAGGAGAGAAATAAGATCGAGAGAAGCTGGGTTTTTAGGGGAGGTTCTAGAAATGTGAAGGGGCAAACTTGGAATAAGGAGATGAATAAATGGCTTAGTCCATAAGACTCTACTTTCCTGACTGACCGAATAAGCCAGAAATGAACAATAATGTATGGCTGACCGAAAGCTATACAGGCTTCACAACCCATTAAGCCACATTCTTACACATTTTTGAGTTATGTAAATTTAAAATATGACATTTAAGATAAAAAAAGGTGGGTAAATAAGTATTTTTTATGTTTTCTCTAAATAACCAATTTAATTAGTATGTATGAAATTTATTATCTGCCTCATAGATGATCAGATAATTAAAATTAACATCATTTTATTCAAACATTAAATTGATTATTGCGACTCTAAATTGCAATAATTAAATAATCAGTTTAAAAAAAATATATATATATATATATTCAGGACCGACTAAAGTATGAAAATGAACCATCAAAGTTTAATGTTACTTAAAGGAAGCAACAAATCAATATAAAAAGAAGGAACCATGTTCAATAAGACACATAGAGATGTCTTATTCATTCATCACATAATCATCTAGAACTATTATAAATTATTAATGCGATAAGATTCGTTATGTTGACGAATTGTTGAGTCCAATAGTCTATTAAAAACCCAATGTGACCAATTAACAAAATCCATAAAATTCAAATCACGTTCAAACTATTGTTTATTTGATAGGTAGTTGATTTCATAAGGGAATTGAATTACAGGAAGGTTAGTAAATCACGTAGTCATTAAGCCGTCTCCCCTACGCCCACTGGACAAAGAAAGATATCTCCTAATGGGCAAATTGTTCATCGATTTCGACCCTTATGCATGCTTCCTCATAACACTCTCGCTTCTAAATGGTTAACATTCGTTTTATAGCGATTTGGGAGAACTTATCATTACGATTGGAATCTATTTGTCTTTGATAAAATAATGTACGAGATTGTTGACATTTTATTACGTTTTAGACGAATTTCGACCTGTTTGATATGCTTTATTCGTAGAATATAACTCAAATCTTTAACATCCAAGGAAATGTATGAAAAATAGGGGTGTTCATCCAAACCACCAAACAACATAAACCGTCCAAATCATACTATGCGACAAAGCATGGTTTAGAACTTCCGCAGCACGGTTTGCATTTTTATCAAATTGCCCTACGCAGTGCAATTATCAAACTGCGTTTCCAACCGCACCGTGTATTTTATATATATTTTATTTATATTATATATAATAATTAGGCTAATTTATCTAATATTTTTAGTTTTCTTGGACTATATTTAATTATGTAAAGTTTTTTAGTTTTCTTAGACTATTTTTAATTATGTAATATGTATTTAGGAATCAGACATATTCAAAACTTTTATTTGTTTAAACAATGGTCACATTATCATTGATTTTATATGTTTTAATCATATAATGATTGGATTGTAGACCTGAATTGCGTTAAGAACAAACCGCATAAACCATTCCCGTGCGGTTTGAGGTGTACGCAGTGCAGTTTCACCCCAAACCATACCGGAAAAATCACACGTCTCATTCCCATTCAACTAATGAAATCTAGACCGATTTTAAATTTATTTTATTTTTTATATTTTTTTTTGATTATACATATTCATATAATTGATGGATATAAATAAGACATGAAAATTTGATACGGGTAATTTTTATCTCAAACACCCTTGGTTGGAAGTTGGAAGTGTGACGCTGAAAATCAACTTTCTATTTGTAACAAACAGGCCCCTCTATTTTCTAAATACTTTCACATTGTACCGCTTTGTCTCTGTTCTGAAATAAATGGGCCTGGGCCTAGTTGTGGGTCAGTTTATTGGGGCCCATTACCTTCTTGGCTGGGTATGGGTTAAGACACATAATTAAGTGGTGGTGCACTGATGATTATGTCTAGTGATGGCCAAAAATCGGTCCCGGGTCGGGCCGGTCCTAAACGGTTTCAAGTTTTCTCATATTGACCATAACCAGTCTCGGTAAAAAATGGTAGAACCAGTCAAGGTTCTTCATAACCGGTTATGGGCCGTCGGTATCGGTCCCAACATTAAAAAGTAAGATCTTATTTTTATTTTTTTAATGATATATATATTTAATACATTATAAAATTAAAATTGGGTCACTCAAATACACTTTAAAAATGCGTTTTAATATAATTAAAATTACATTGTTTTATAAAAAAATATTATAAAATTATTTGAATATACATTTATTCATAAAATTATTTGATTTTCGGGTCGGGCAGGGATGGTCCATAGCCGGTCCCAGTCCCACGAAACTGCCAAAACCCCCAACTGGTCCCGGTTTTCGGTCCCATAACCGGTCCTAGCTTGGCACTTTATTGTGTTTTTAAGTTGATTTGTGACCTCTTGAGTGATCGAATTTGCATCAGAGGTCTCTTAATGCTTTGGATGACCTTTAACACGATTTTTCTTCATCCCAAATCTACCATGACTCTTGATTCAAACGCGACGAACATTCATCAATAGTTGGACACTGACTCGCTTGCTAAAACAAATCTACACTTTTAAACGATAACTGTAAAAACACGGGTGTTACACCTATAATAAGATTGTATTTATATTTCAGAGATTACAAGTCATACTTTGACTATTTATAATCTAATGTATCTGCTATTTCTGACGTTATCGTGTATCAGCTACAGTACCGCCTACTTCCGAGTTCATAATGAAAGCGAAACGTGTTTATGAATTTTCAGAATTAGAATGAGATAACGACAAACAAAAATATTTTGTAAGTTACTGAATAGTTAGATCACTTTATATTTATTCTAAAAATCAGTTTAAAATAACTTTTTACATACTTTGTAAAAATGATTGATTTAGGAGTCGTTTACCAAACGCTTACCAACTCACATTACATTGCCGGATGAATAGGACAATGACCACAAATTTTACCCGGTAAAAGCGAGTTAAGGACCGAGAGTCTTACCCGGTAAGTGAGAGCGATGACTCTTACCATGGTTAGCGTTTATCGGGTAAATTATTGCATATGATGCAATTTTTATTGACTAAGATCTTATCCGATAAACATAATCAAATATATAATAAATATAATCAAATATATAATAAATATAATCAAATATAACTAACGAAAGCTCCATATCTAAATTCATGTAACTAACTGTAGATAAACATAATCAAATATAGGATAAACATCTCAGTTTAAATATAAAAAATCTAAAATATAATTAGGATAATTATTGAGTTTTAACATAATATTTATTTATTATCTTTATAAAAAAAATGATATTATTAAACCAAAAATAAATTATTTCGTTATTAAACTTAAATTAAATTATAATAAAAAAATAAATTAAATAAATTACATAAATTACATAAAAATGATAAACTTTTAAATAGTTGATTTGATATTAACATTGATATATATATTTTTTCAAATTTTTATGATATCTTTAAATTTATATTTTATTCAAAAATAAAATCATTATTAATTTCTTAAAAACACATAAAATCGTATTATAACATCGACAGAGACAAATAATAAAATAGAACATTAAAATCGAGATGTGTCTCGTTGCATTATACGAGTACTATTCTAGTAATTATTAAAAAACATATAGGGTTCGAAATACCATACCAAGCCTCAACGCTGGTCAAGGTTATTAGAAGCGCCGGATCCCCACCCTATTCCGGAGACCCAATTGTGTGTGTTCGTTCGTGCATACCTTGTCCTAATTGAAACTGATGAACAAATTACACCTTCGAGTGCTCCCTCATTAATTCAAATGTATTCAAAAGGTTAGTGTTACGACTTAAATATTACTAAATGCTTACCCGTTAAGCTTTTATCGGATGAGCGTGATATGGATTTAGAATCTTATTCCGATAAAAGAGATAACAAAGACCGAAAGTTTTAATCAATCAATGAGTGAGAAGATTATGTGGTAAATGTCTCGTTGGTTTATTAAGGTAGCATTTGATATGTAGATTAAACTGAACAAAATAACCCACATAAATGATACTAAGAGACTGTTTGATAGTTGCTGAATGATTTAATGCAAAATAATTAACTGATCAGAATCATTAGGAATGTGAGAATAGTTTACTAAAAAAATTTCAATATTTGAAGTGTTTTACTATGAAACAAACGACTTGGGGTGTTGAATGTTACTTTTTATGTCATGAATGTTAAGAAAACAAGTTGTAATTTTATATCTGGAACCTACTAACTCTGACATTTTCATTTTGTCATAGAATTAAGGGTTTCGTCGATCGCCGGTCGCTCTTCTCCCCGTCGATCTCCCCTCACCTTTCTTCATCACTGAAGTTGCAGTAAGTTGTTCTCCTTCTGCTGTTCCTCTCATATCGACTGTGTAGTAGTTATTGGCAACCCCGTGTACTTCCATTTACTAGAAAGTGAGCGACTTTCCACCGCGATTAGYGTYTGTTTCYTTTACATTATTGTGGTGTACAGCTTTTAGCGATTCATGGTATGTAGTATGTACACTTAATTGTTGCTGACTATGCAAAAAGAATCATAGTATGCTATGCTCTCACTGTTTGATAAAATGCCTAGCAGAACTCGGATTTGTTTAGAATAGTGTTGAATGACCTTATTTTTTCTTCAAATTTGTTGGGATCAAAGGGTCACTCAATCTTGGTTGTTTCAGTTTTTTAGTATTCTTGTTAGGTTTTGCAGGTTCAAAGTCAATTGTTTGTTGTTAGGGCTGTGTTATCAAGTTGTTTGCAAGTGTTAAAGTGTTTTGGAACCTCAATTTGATCCACTTGTGGTCATTGTCAATTCAAACTCATTTTTCCCTAAAAAAGGTTCTCATTTACATATTACTTAAATTCTCTACTGCTTGTCATCTGAATGACGTTGGAATTTCAACCTTTTTTTATTACCAATTTGTTACATTTGAGTTTAAGGCTTTGGAGATATGTTGGTCTTATGGTTTTTAGTGTATTTTGGATATTGGGATATCCTGATCATTTCCATTAAAGGAGGATGTGCAAGTTCCTCATATTTTTGGATGTGGATGCGGTTGTTAGATTTAAAATTCGAATTCTGCTACAAATGCTTCCACTCTGATTACATCTCTACATACAATATATAAGAAAAATAAAACCTATGTTCCCCCTTGATAGATGTAATATAATATGCATTTTTCAAAATGGATATGTTATATATAGAACTTCTTTAAGTTGGTGGACTAAATACTTAGGTCAGGTAAGAAGACAAAACAAACGTTGGATTGGATCTGGTTAAGTTTCCTTCTAAGAATGCATAGTTCTGACTTCTGACAGTTCTACACATAACAGTATATTAGCTACTTTGGGACCAACTAGAGTAAAGCAAACACACACGAATGAGGGTTGTAGATACTATCATACTACTAGGCACCCTCGCTTCACCCGTCCAGAATAAATGTCCACAATAAAAATGACACAGTTTTAGAAATGTGTAATTATTACATTTCTTAATTAACTAAATGATAATTTATCATTAATAATAGATGGAGTAATGAATTTCTCCATCTCATAAATAAGGGTAATTGGAAAGTAGTTGCTTACCAAAGAAAGTGGACACTTACTTTGGGACAAATTAAAATATAAATGTGGAACGCTTAATTTGAGATGGAGGGAGTATTATCTTCAGCATGTTGGGCATCAACAAGAGACAACTCTTTTAATAGTTTATTCAGTGGCCAAGAGTGATATATTATGTATGGTCCCCAGCCATTCAGGCCATATTTCTTATATATAGTGGCATCATATTTATTGGAACGAAGGTCGTTAATTTTATAGAGTTTAATGCGGTCATATGGTTGGAGAGGTTACTAATAGATATTTCTCCCATTCTTGTTGCATGGATGAAATCAATCGAGAGTATATATGGTGGAGAGTTCACTTTAGAGTATGCTGGTTTGGGAGATTTCTTCATCATCACACTGTGTAACATCAGTGTACTCCATTCGGGAACTTATTCTTCCACTGTTTCCTACATTTTGGTGTTCCCTTTATAAATTTGTGTTCCAAACTGCTCCATTTTACTAAATGACAGTTTTTTCAAAGTTCAACATTCAGAATTACATATCTTCTTAATGCTTGCAAATTTTAGGAAGTGCACTTTTATGTACAGCGGAGGTATCACATTGTGGGACAAGAATAGGTTGTTTGGTTGGTTTTTCATTAAGTCCTATATGGATAAAACTGTTTTTGAGAAGATTTTTGTTTTGGAGGGTTATTTCGTAGATGGAAGGAGCATGTTTTTTAATTGGGAGGAGAAAGTTCGGAAAAAACTTGGCTTTCTGCATAAAGCTCCCCCTAGAAGCTTACTGTATAAGCCACTTTCTATATCATTAAGCCACTATCAAATATTCATGTATAGCTGACCGAATAAGCTGTGAGTCCCATTCAGCTAATTAAGCTGCTAACAAACAGACCCTAACTTCCATGTGATGGGATGAGGAGGGATTCAGATGGGTTATGAAATTCTTCCACTTCCACTTATTAGCAAAAGGATGGCCTAAAGAACTTGGGATCATGCATGATAAATCCCTCTCCATTTCTATAGAGACTAGAAAACTTGTCTCGTTGATGCCCTACATGCTGAAGAACACTAAATATAAGAACCATGCCGATTTTGGGTGCCTATTAATATTGGCAATCTCCATTTGTGGATATTTATTTTCCTGTAGTTTGTATCGAAGTACCGGATACAAGCATTGTAGGTAGACATGTTGATCCAAAAACATTTTTGGAAACCATATTTAAACTCTCAGTCTACTTACTAATCGAGTTCTCAGTTTACCAATTGAAATGCGATTTTTATTCACTATGTATGTAGAGAATTATATAGAAAATGCTTATTAAATTGTTACACCTATGTAAGGGGAAGATGGATGTCATTCTATATAATCTGACCTTTTTACCCCTTTGTTAATCTTTTTGAAAGTTATGTGTATAAAGGAAACTTGTGACAACCGAGAACTCAACCATTAACATTACAAATTTTCATTTTTCTGCTGTCTACAACTGATCATTTTTCTGTCTATTTCTGGTTTCTCTACCTAGTGTCTTTCTCGCTATAGTAAAAGATTATTTTCAATTGGATTCTGAACAAAGTTAATCAATCTATACCATCACCAGGTGCGCCTTGATAAAAGGGTAAGTTGTTAGAAATTGAGTTCATCTTAAGGGCATTTGTCCTGTAGAAAATGAACATTTCAGACTTTTGGAACCAATTTTTTTGTCAGAGAATCCTTTCCTCAAACCTTTTTACAAGTCGGGGGTCTTTGCAGAAATGGTCCTTACTCCTCAGGGTAGAGGTAGGTCTGTTTACATCTACCCTCTCCAGAACCTACTCCTTGTAGAATTCACCGGGTTGGGTTGGGTTGGGTTGGGTTGGTTTGGTTGGTTTGGTTTGGTTGGGTTGGGGTTTTAATAAGTACATGTCATTTCTCATTACATGATAGGATTTTCTCAAATCAAATTTAAAATGTAGGGGTGGGGATCAATATTTAAATTTGAAAGGAGCATGCATTACAGTTTTATGTCTTAGAACTCCTCGATAACTAGGAAATCCACAGGCTTCCTGATTTGTACCTTTCCTCTTTTATTCTTGGGAGAAGAATTTTTAAATAGTGGTGATTGTAACGCCCCATAGCACAATTCTTTTACCAGCCTACCTCAATCTCGTCCATCCAGTCCTGTCCAGTCTCGTCCGCTTAACAAACACACCCCAAGGAGTTGGCTTTATCACAACATACTCCCTCCATTTGTAATCTTTGAATGGACCCATTAGTTAAATTCTTAAATTAGCGCATAATGATGACTTGAGCAATTAATAACGGTGCAACAATGGTGGTTTAGCAGTGTTATAGCGGTTAGCGGTGGCCGTGGAAATAGTGGAGGGCAAATAGCGGCACTACTTACCGCTTTTGACCACAAAATGGACCTCAAATAGCTGCCACATTTCCAAATTCGATCAGCTTTTTCCAGGCTTCCAGGCTCGTCATCTTGTGTTCTTTCTGCGCTTCAAATAATGTTGTAACTCTTGCCTTCCATGCTTCGGTTTTCATCCACGTTTCTTCTGTTCAAACAGACTTCGTGGAAAACCCTCTAATCAACCAAGATGACTGTTCATAGTACAAACTCCGATTACTGCTTTACCAACATGATAACCGCTATATCAAAATCCAGGCCCTGACCGCAATTTTAGAAAATGACTGCATTAACTGCTTAGATGATAACCGAATATGGAAACATTGGCAAAACTTTGTACAGTGTTTTGATTTATAATTCTGTTTTCTCTTCTTTTTCAGCATCATGGCTGGCATTGCTGGAAATGAACACAGAGAGCCGATCAACGAGCAGGAAGTTGCAGCCAAATACGGCAGCATAAGGACCGAAATGAATCAAATTTACTCCAAAATTACCGAACTAGAAATGGAAATAAGCGAACATTCGTTAGTGATCAATGCCATACAGCCACTCGATCCAGCAAGGCGTTGCTACAGAATGATCGGAGGCGTGCTGGTGGAGAGAACCATCAAGGAAGTGTTACCAGCCGTTCAACAAAATAAGGAAGGAATCGAAGTGGTAATTTCTCGGCTTAACGAAGCTTTGGAGAGGAAGAAGAAGGAGCTGACGGATTTTGAATCTAAGTACAAGATTCGGATCAGAAAAAATGACGGGGAACCCGTGGATGATAATAGCAAGAAAGAAGGATCGGCACAGGGAGTTCTTGTGGGTCCCGCAAATGCGTAATCATTTTACGTATGTTTTGTGCTCCTTAATATTTTCTTAGTTCATGTTATTATTGCGTTAGCGTAAACGATGAACACGGGATGATTGAAAGGTTGTAGGATTAGATCGTTCGTAGTTGGTGCTTTTTGGTGTTCGCTACTTTCTTGCATCAACAATGGGTGAAAGGGGTTAACCTCGGGTGAGTTACTTGTTTGTTTGAATGAAAGAAAATGTTTCCATAAAATAAATGGTGATTTCTGGGTTTTATCCCTATCGTTAAGAGGTGAATCTTGTTTGACAAAAAAAAGTCTGACTTTTAATGGTTCTAAAACCTTCTGAATGATTTTATATCTTGGATCTTCCTTGACCATTAAGAACCTTAATTTCATTGTACATAATTACCAAACAATTATATTTTATTTTATATTATATCATGAAAGCCTCTTAATCATTCTGACTACTTAATCATTTTGCATCAAACCATTCAGCAATTGCCAAACATCCCGAATATTCTTGTTCGTCTGAATGAAAGAAAATGTATTGCTGAGCGACTTTGCTGAATTAAAAATTGAAAATGATAGGGTTTATTTCTATTTTTACCGATATAAAAAAACACAAAATTGATTATACTGCAACACTAATTGGTACATGATGACGTGGTGCAATCAGAGAGGGGGTAGAACACAGTACAAACATAGAGCTTCTCACACTTGATTCCAGCTTCTCCTTCCCATTATCCAAAAAAATCTTGAACCCCACGGCCGGCGAATACCCGATCGGAAAGCTCCGCCAAAACGGCATTAACAGTAAGCAGAACGACACTCGAACCAGCAATAACACCAAGCACAACCCCCGTCGTTCCGATGACCTTATTGAACGCCGGCCACTCAATCTGTCCAATCTCCTCCGCTACTCCACCCCATATACTTTCATCCTTCCTAATCTCTCTCTCCATCATCGCCTTCTTGATCTCAGTACCCAGTTCAGATAATTCCTCATCGGAGGGAGGTTTTTGGGTGGTTTCTGATTCTGCGGTTGTGGGTTGTTCTTGTCGTTCTTCGGCGGCGTTGACGATGACGGCGAATCGGTGGTCTTTGTTCCCGTTTCTGGCGGTGAGAATGGTGGTGGTGGTGGTGGTGAAATTGAGGGTGGATTTGATTGGTGGGATGTTTCGATATCCGGTGGGTGTTCTTATCGACAGCGGAGATGGCAGGAATTGTGAGAGAGAAAGTGCCATTTCCAACTCTCGACTAACAATATTTTCCACCAAGAAAATATTATAAGTATATTCTTAAACCAAAACTACTAATAAAAAATACGTAAATAAATTAATAATACTTCCAAAAATATTTCGTTTTACAATTAAAAATAAAAATGATTAAAAAATATATAATTATCATATTTTTTTTATTAACAAAATAATAGTTTTACTTTTACTTATAGAAAGAAATGTTCTTCATATAAATTAGATGTAGAATGAAAGAATAAATATTTACTTTTAAAAGTAAATACTTATTTTAATACAATATAAAATAATAACATATACATTTATTTTATTACAGAAAGAGTATTAAAGTAAGTTTGTTGCTTTCCTATTCATAATACAAAAGTTTTGTAAAAGAAGATATATTCATGATGTAAACGAGCGACTAAATGATGTATGGATCATTAGTGTAGTGTGAGCAGGGCCAACCCGCATCAATTCACATGTTGGATCAGTCATATTGGTACTTAAAAATACTTGGGAAAAATTGATGCAAGAAGGTTTCAAACCTGAGACCTCAACAATTATATTGGTGTATGCTACCACTAAGCAGGTGCTATTTTTCCCCTTATTACTTTTATCTTTCTCGTTCTAAATTTCTTTCATCAGCTTAAAATTGTTTTTTTCCTCATTTAGTGTCAATACGAAATAAATTTAATTATATTTAACAATCAATATTTTATATGTTTTTTGTTTTGAAAAAACATCGATAATATTTGAAATCTTATTATTCTTTTTCTATGCATGATTTTATCAAACATGTTTACATAGACAATGTAAATAGTTATCTTTTGTTGTTGCATCGGTTGAATTTATACATACATATTCAAGTTTGTGTTCTAGTTTTAGTAAAATGATATAAAATTTCTATGTAACGACTCTTTTAAACTTTGTTTTTTTAGTAAAATGATATAAAATTTCTATGTAATGATTCTTTTAAACTTTGTTTGATAATTAGCTTCAAATAGCAACCATTTGAGCATACCATACTACTCTCCAAACAATCAATGTAATTCTTTTAAGTGTATAGTACGGAAAATGCAACCCCCCGACTTCCACGGAGGACAAAAGTCCGGATACCACTTCGCCAAATGCCTTTTTGGTAATCAATGTAAAATGTCGTTTTAGCACGAACATGTGTTAGGTTCTATTATATGTTAATGTAGTTTATTTTTTTTATTTACTTTAAATGGTTCTTTTTATAATATGGTTGTTACTTTACATTAATATGAAGTTTTAAGAATTAAAAATAATTGAGCAAAGTTTATTATAATACACATTGTGTGTGAAGTTGTTGTTCGATAACATCATGTTCAACATTGTTACACATCCAAAATAATTTAGTGTTGTTTTGCATAGGGGCATTTTTGAACGCTTTCGCTCAGGACACCAAAAACTCTAGGACCGCCCTGAGTGTGAGGGGAAACACGTGACACTTTCACAGGTCACTAAAGTATCGAATTTGGTAAAGTTTGAAAAAAGAAAACATTTATAATCAAGACAGTAAAATTGTTCATTATGTGTGGATAATGAGATTTTGCATGAGCTAATCCCAGTAAAACTTTTGGAGGGTCTCATTGGCCCAATAGATTTATTGGAGGGTCTAATTGGTCTGGGGGTTTAACCATTACTTTTCCAACACAACCGGAATTGACACAGGTGGGTAGGTAGAGAATACCCAGGGGTGCGAGACAACTCTCTCTTGGGAACTCGGCAAAATAGCCCCATAACTCCGGGAGAAAGGGTGTGTCTCCTTAAAATGGGGGTCGCAATAACCAGGCCCGCGCGACTGTTTTCCAAAAACACAGGTCTTCACAAAGTCGTAAGACCATGTATGGGACGGATGCATTCCCAGTGTCAGAAGTCTACTTACATTCTACCTTTCAAACTCCACCTCTAGGTGGAATGTACTCAACTTGTTTGGTTTGGTTTAAAATTGGCCCATTTAGTAATGAAAATCTTTATAAATTGCTTTCAAGTTAAAATTGCCAGATTCAATAAGCAGGTTTTCATATTCAACAGGTTATGGATAAGAAAAGGGTCGAGATGAAATCCGAACTCACAGGAACCAATAGATGATGCCTCCCAAATACCTAATGCTGAATATGAAAAAAACCACGACTCCATGTATTGCCAAGTGTCGAACAAATTTCATCCGTGTGCATTGTTAGGATGTTGCATGTCATACGGACCACGAGGTACACCTCCAGGGCCATACTGAGCATCAACCATTCGATGTTGCATGTCATATGGACCATGGCCATATTGAGGATCAACTCCGCCCTGAACCTGAAATGTGCAACAATGGTGCAATTCAAACGTAACCGTTAACCTCTTGTTTGGCATGCTTGTCCAGGATTTGGACCCTATGCGCATTTGGTGGGCAGATAGGACTCGGCACGACAGGAGTGGACTGGAATGGCGAAAGTGAGGTAGGCGTGCTGAATATATTGTGCAAGTTTTGGGGTTTTAATTTGACATAGGCAGTTTAGTAATTATACCAATCTTATATCATCTCCCTGATTTTATGCGCACCTATTTACTCAGTCCTATCCTATCATGTCCAAGTCTTAATGTCACACTAAACATGGGACAAGTTCTATGGGCCGTCTATCCAAACACTTATTCGGTAAACGCTTACTGGGTAAGATTGGACATTATCACTTACCTTATCGGGCAAGATTTTGGTCAATTTACCAGGTAAGCACTTACTGGGTAAGACTCTCGGTCCTTGCTATTGCTCTTACCGGGTATAATTCTCGTTCCTTACTATGTTTATCCGATAAGATAAGGTGACTTGGTAAGCGCTTACTCAGTAAGTGTTTGGTAAATGGACCCTTAGTCCTCTCTCATCCTGTCCGGCATACCTAACGCACGTGCACAAATTCTTTTTCCTCAATCGATGTAACAAACTTCCAGTCTTTCCTATTTTGTACCCATATTACCTATCAAACTGGTTTCCAGCACATGTGAATAAGTTCTTAACAAAAATAAAACTATGATCCGACTTTGGTAATAAATGAAAACAGAGACCCAATTTAAACAGAAAAATCACATACCTGATGCGCAGCATAGTTGCCAGGATATGCATTACCACCATAACCCATATCATGGTTGCCAAAACCTGCAGCATATCCTGTTCCTGTTTCAGTGAATTCCATCCAATTTACTAGCTGGCAACAAGAATATAGTAATAACGACAATCCCCCTCACGTATATAATAAATGCAACTTTCGGTCGGATATGGTTCAACAGAAGTGCCAACCAGCCCATTACACCCATCCCAAAATAAATATCATCAATGAAAAAGGATCACAATTAGAAATGTGTAAATGTTATAACTTTTAATCAACTAAAATGGCAATTTACCCTTAAAAATAGAGGGAGTTTTGAATTTCTCCATCTCATAATTCAAAGTAGAATGGGGAAGTAGACTCTTAGGGTCCATTTGGTTTGACTGATTGTTTTTCAGGGATTTGGAATTGGAAGGGTATGGAATCATTTGGTGTGTTTGGGTTGTAGGATTAGGAATAAAATTGACTTCAATTCTTTATAAATAATTTATTAATTTTTTTATAAGAAACTATAAAAATAATTAAATTACCTTTTTATTAATTAATTATTACAAAACAAGTGTTTTTAACATATTTCAAAAACATTATTACAAATAAATCCTATGAAATCCCGCGAAATACCAATTACCCTCATGGGATTCTAAATCCCATGTTTGTGGGATTCCATTGAAATCCCAGGATTTCAATTATGGACTTTCTTTTAAACCAAACATGGGGTCCCACAGAATCCCGCAAACCAAATGCGCCTTTTGAAGGCAGACACTTATTTATAGATCAACTGAAATAGAAATGTGCATACTTATTATGGGATGGAGGGAGTATATCCCACTCGTAGGGTGGGGTCAGTGGTGGGATGTATGCAAACCTAACTTCTACTCCGGAGGGTAGAGCAGTTGTTTCCATAAAGACCACCAGCTTTCAAAAATATGTAAAGTGCTTGGTCATATGTAAACATCCAAAATATCTCTAAGAACAATCTTGTGAACTAAAGTGAATGTCATCAATACGTTGTAACAATATTGATCTGCAAAGCGGTCATTTTGGCATGAAATTTACCAGGAGTAGCTGCTGCAGCTGCAGCAGCAGTTGCCCTTGCTCTCTTATCTGCATTGGCAAGTTCCGCCTGTAGCTTCTCAATTTCACGGGACATAGAAATCATACTTTTCTCCATTGCTTGGCTTTGTTCAATGTTACTGGCATAGACCTTTTTTTCATACTCCACTGCTGCCCTGTTTGCATCCTTATTAGAAACATTGAAACTAAAACATGCCAAGTGAGAGAATGCACCTTGTCATACAAGTAACATTAAGCAAACATACAAAAGTATGTACATAATACAAAGGCAAGAAGACACCAATGGTGCGTTTGGTATGTGAGACAGTATAGGACACAACAAAACTTGTTGTCACATGTTTGGTGCCACAATTAGACCAGGATTGGATAGGACTGAGTGAGACAAAAATGCATTTTTCCTGTAGGTGAAACAAAAATCAGAGAGATGGGGTGAGTCTGGTACTTACTGAACTACACAAGTGAAATTAACCCCCCTAAAACCTTCCACAATTCTTTCAGCCACTTACCTCACTCATGCTAGTCCAATCCAATCCCGTTTAGTCCAATACAGTCCCGTTTGTACCAAAAGCGTCCCAAAGGGACAGGATATCATACATGAGTTGACCACATAGAACAACCATTCATAAGGTGGTAAACAGGAAGTAGAGAAGACGTATGTACTATAGGATAATATACACTATGAGTAAGATTCCTTGTAATGGTTTTGGGCAAAAATTCAAATTCGGTACTAGTCGTTTTTATGACTGAAAAGTAAGCCAATATTCAAAAAAAATCACAAAGAAGGTTAATTGGCTTCTAAATCAAGTAGAAAGGACTTCATGTAATGTAAAAAAGGAATGATTGAAGAAAATGGTCACTTTGCCTTGGTCTTCTTATAGTAATTTCACTTCAGAGTTGTATGAACTCTACCTTCTCCGTTCATAACAAATGCATCCAAAGTCCCACATGTGACAAGATTCATATTAGGTTCCAACTCTTTTAGGTGCGTTTGGTAGGCAGACGGGTCTGGACAAGACGAGACTGGATTGGACGAGCGAGAGCGAGGTAGTGCCTAGACGACTGAAAGAATGATACAAATCCAGAAATCATCAAGACTAATGGAAATAAATCAAGGGAGTGGAAAGTTTATTCTAGAAGGGAAAAAAGGGCAATTATGGAAAGTGGCTAGAAATTAGTGAGAATAGTATCTTTAAAAGGGGAAGGAAGGGGTGTGCATAAGATATCTTATTTTTCTGCATTATTCTATTGGAATGGCTCTTGCATCATGCATTGAGAGAGGGATTCTCCCTGTTCCGTTTCACTTTTTAATTCCATCAGCCTTCTTCTTCCCTTAATTCATTGTTAAATTTCCTTTCTCTATCATTGATCCGACCTGCCATTTGATCTGCCGGTACCATGGAGACTCGATCAATTCAAACCCGTTTTGAGCAACAGGACGAACAAATTCAACGCTTACAAGCTGATTTGGTGGAAATCAAATCTGCCATCACTGCGTTGGACCGGGATCGTGCCGAGGCCAGCGAGTTTCGACAAGTAATGATGGGTTGGATGAAGCAGCAAGATAAATCTCCGATGGGTGGTCAAGGTGAGTTCTCTGGTACTTCACCTCCATCTCCAAAGGCGGGTGTCTATTCGGGTGTTTTCTCAGGCTTTGGGCAGACCCCTGTTCCTCCTACGATGGGTCTTCCTTGGGCAGTGAAGAAAATTAAACTCCCAGAATTTTATGGTTTTGATCCTCAAGGCTGGATCCAGAAGGCTTCTCTGTATTTTGATATCAATGGTATTCCTCCTCATCTTCGAATTCGTTTGGCATAGTTGAGCATGGTAGGAGTGGCTCAACATTGGTTCACCATTGTTAAACAGGTGCATGAGTCTCTTACTTGGGATCAATTCCAACTCGAATTGTTACAAAGATTTAGTGTCCTGGAAATTCAAAACCCATTTGAACAATTAGCCACGATTAAACAAACAACTTCCATTCATGATTATATTGACGATTTCGAATACCTCTTATCGTTGGTTCCAAAATTGCCAGAATCTCAAGCATTGGGGTATTTTATTGTGGGTTTACATGACAAAGTCAAGAGATGGGTTCGTCTCCACCGACCTCAATCTCGACTAGATGCAATGTATTTGGCCAAAGACATTGAAGAGATGCTTCGACCATCATCAAACAATGTTTCACAGTCCCGTTTTCGATACCACCATCTGGCTGGGCCGGATGAGGGTCTTCCTTTGGATCGTTCTTCTCAAGTGGGCCAGTCCAATGTTCGTGGGCCCCCACTTGTGAAACACGGTGATAAGGGGTCTTCTATCCGATTTGATTCTAGTCGCTTTCAAAATTCCCGTCAATCTGCGTCGACTCCACCGAAGATTTCTCAAGTGTTACATCGGGATCGAGGGGTTCGTTCCCTGACGCGTACCGAATGGGAGGAACGTCGTAAGAAGGGTTTGTGTTTTCGATGTGGGCAACAGTTTGGTCCAGCACACAAGTGTCCATAAGGGAAACTGCGAGTTTTACTGTTGGGAGAGGATGAATACGAGACTGAGGAAGGAGAATTGTGTCAATTTGAAGAGGTGACTACACCGGATTTACCTCCGGTTGAGGTGCCAGGTCAGGGATTATGTGCTTCATTGGAGCTTTTTGGAGCTTCTTCTACAACTTCGGGAGGCAAAACATTGAAGTTGGTAGGTACTATTTCTGATATTCCCTTGGTTGTTTTGGTGGATAGTGGGGCAACACATAATTTCATTTCTCGTCGGTTAGTAACCTCACTGGGAATTTCTTCAACTCAATTTGAGGGTCTCACTATTCAATTGGGTGACGGCCATAAGGTATTCATCAATCAAATGTGTCTTCATTTGTCTATTATGTTGGGTACTTAATTCTTTTCTGGTGGATGCGTTAGTTTTTTATACGGGTGATTTAGACATGGTTTTGGGAATGGAATGGCTACGATCTTTGGGAGAGGTCACCCATAATTGGGATAAGGCATGGATGCGTTTCATGCATCAGGGGAATTCTGTTCAACTTCAGGGATTAACGTCAGTTCACCCCCCTCGGATTCGCTTCAAAATTGCTTGACGTCTATGCCAGTAGTGCACTTGCTTCTGGGATTTTCCTTTTTCTCGATTTCGGTCAACACGCCTGGGTTGTCTTCTACTTCTTTAACCGATTTACAGCAGGTTTTGGACACTTTTTCTGCTGTTTTTCAAGCTCCCACGGGTCTTCCTCCTTCACGTGTACATGATCATGCTATTTCTTTGGTTTCTCCTCACCAACCCATTAGTGTGCGACCTTATCGACACCCCCACATCCAGAAGGCAGAAATTGAACGACAAGTCACAGAGTTGCTGTCCTTGGGAATGATTCGTCCAAGTAAAAGTGCTTTTTCAAGCCCGGTCATTTTAGTTCGTAAAAAGGATAATACGTGGCGTATGTGTGTAGATTATCGTGCTCTCAACAAAGCGACCATTCCGGATAAATTTCCTATTCCTATGGTTGAGGAACTTATTGATGAATTACACGGTGCTAGTTTTTTCTCGAAGTTGGATTTGAAATCAAGTTATAATCAGATCCGTATGAGACCCGACATTATTGAAAAAACAGCGTTCCGGACTCACGATGGTCACTATGAATACTTGGTCATGCCGTTTGGCTTAATGAACGCTCCTTCGACGTTTCAGGCTGTGATGAATGACGTTTTTCGTCCCTTATTGCGTAAATCTGTCGTCGTGTTTTTTGATGATATTTTAATTTTTAGTATGGGATAACCACTTACGAGATTTGCAGGCTGTTTTGAGCATTTTGTTGCAGAATCATTTTGTGGTCAATCAAAAGAAGTGTTCCTTTGGACAAACGTCGGTGGAGTACTTGGGTCATATCATCTCTGGCAACAATGTGGCCATGGATCCTAAGAAAATAGAGGCGGTAACGAATTGGCCAGTGCCCAAAAACATTAAAGGCTTAAGGGGATTCTTGGGGCTCACCGACTATTATCGGAAGTTTGTCAAACATTATGGGAGCATCTCCCGTCCTCTCACCGATCTCACAAAGAAAGAAGCATTTCAATGGAGTTCCGCTACCCAGCAATCATTTGAGGCTTTAAAGGCTGCTTTGGTAACCGCTCCTGTTCTAGCCCTCCCCAATTTTGATTTACCTTTTATTGTCGAGTGTGATGCCTCCGGGAGGGGAATTGGGGCTGTTCTCATGCAACAGGGTCAGCCTATTGCTTACTTCAGCAAAGCCTTGAGTGATCGCAACTTGGCAAAATCAGCCTATGAACGGGAAATCATGGCGTTAGTTTTATCTGTTCAGCACTGGCGTTCATATCTGTTGGGCACTACTTTCATAGTTTACACCGACCAAAAGAGCCTTAAATTTTTGTTACAGCAGCGCATAACCACTCCTGACCAACAGAATTGGGTGGCTAAACTTTCGGGCTACAACTTTGACATACAATACAAACCGCGTAGAGAAAATCGCGTTGCTGATGGACTTTCTCGTCGTGCTGATTCTGGTAGCCTTCTAACTTTATCTTCTTCTCCGTTATGGCTGCAAGAGGCTGAAAATTAATAAGGGAAGCTAGAGATGATACAGAATTCCAACGGATTACTTCGAATTGTTTAGCTAACCCGTTGTCACATCCTGGTTATACAATTCGACAAGGGGTATTGTTCTATAAAGACCGTTTGGTTATTTCTCGCACTTCCAAGTTTATTCCTTCTTTATTACTTGAGTTTCATCATGGTTATTACCGTACTTACCGACGCTTGGCTGCAAATTTATATTGGTCAGGCATGGTAGGCAGTGTTAAAAAGTTCGTTCGTGAATGTGATGTTTGTCAGCGTTGCAAAGCCAGTTCAACCTTACCTGGGGTTTTGTTACAGCCGTTAGACATTCCAGAATCCATTTGGGAACATCTCTCAATGGATTTCATCCTTGGACTGCCTAAATCAAAGGGGTTTGATGCTATCTTAGTAGTGGTTGACAGATTATCGAAATACAACCATTTTATTCTCCTTAAACACCCGTATACGGCCAAAAGTGTAGCTGAAATGTTTGTTCGAGAAGTAGTTAGACACCATGGGATTCCAAAGTCGATCATCAGTGATCGTGACCCTCTATTTCTTAGTCGATTTTGGCAAGAAATTTTCCGTTCTCAAGGCACGAAGTTGCTCATGAGTTCTGCTTATCACCCGGAAACGGACGGTCAAACGGAAGTGATTAACAGTTGTCTCGAATCTTATTTACGTTGTTTTGCTGCTGATCAGCCCCGTAATTGGTCAACATGGCTTCCGTGGGCGGAGTTCTAGTATAATTCGACATTCCATAGTTCAACCGGCAAGTCCCCATTAGAAATTGTCTATGGTCGTAAACCTCCGTCTGTCATTCAATTTATTCCAGGGGAGATACGTGTTCAGGCAGTAACCCAAGAACTTTGTGACCGGGATGAGGCATTAAAGCAACTCAAGTTTCACTTAGCCCAAGCTCAGACAACAATGAAGGAACAAGCAGACAAAAACCGCATAGAAGTTGTCTTTGTTGAAGGGGAATGGGTGTATGTCAAGTTGAAACCATATCGACAAATGTCGGTCACGTCGCGGATTCATCAGAAGCTCGCTGCTCGTTTCTTTGGCCCTTTTAAGATTGTGGAAAAAATGGGTCCGGTGGCTTACCGTTTGGAATTGCCTCCATCTTTGAAGGTTCATCCCGTCTTTCATGTTTCATTACTTAAGAAGGCAGTGAGAGTGGATGGCGACCAGGTGTTACCGCCAGAACTGGAATTAAGTACTGCCGATCAGCTTGTTCCAGTGGCAATTTTGGCTTCTCGTGCAGTAAATGATTTCCAAGACTAAGTCGATCAATGGTTAATTCAGTGGAAGGGGCTGCCAATCGAAGAAGCTACGTGGGAGGATGTCTTGACTATCCAAAGTCAATTTCCAGATGCAAGTCTTGAGGACAAGACTTTATTTGATGGCGGGAGTAGTGATACGAATCCAGAAATCATTAAGACTAATGGAAATAAATCAAGGGAGTGGAAAGTTTATTCTAGAAGGGAAAAAAGGGCAATTATGGGAAGTGGCTAGAAATTAGTGAGAATAGTATCTTTAAAAGGGGAAGGAAGGGGTGTGCGTAAGATATCTTATTTTTCTGCATTATTCTATTGGATTGGCTCTTGCATCATGCATTGAGAGAGGGATTCTCCCTGGATGTTTTCTGTAATTCCGTTTCACTTTTTAATTCCATCAGCCTTCTTCTTCCCTTAATTCATCGTTAAATTTCCTTTCTCTATCAAAGAACTATGGAAGGCTTTAGGGTTTTAATTTGACATGGGTAGATGAGTAATTTATCAATCTTGCCCTATCTCCTTGATTTTTGTTCCACCTATTTTGACGGACACTCAGTTGCCAGTCTAATGTCGCGCCAAACGTGGTTTGTCCTGTTCTATCATGTCTTGTCTCCAACAGCAAATGCACAGAGTGTTCAAACTCATAAATTGTAGCATACAAGAACTAATCATGATTATAAGGATCCAAAGATCCACTGGCTGCCTGATGATTTTCAGGCGCATCGCATTCTTTTCGTTCCTTCCGTTTCAATAAGATCTCATATAAGGACCTTGCTTTGATCTTTCAAATCAAACCTAATATCCCAACGAACCAAACTTTGTAACATTGTCATACTGCCTAGGCACAAACCAATAAAACCATCGAAAGCAAAACATATAGTCCACGTCCACACAAAAATCTAATAACATATTAACAATATGATTTATATGATGTAAATAATCATGCAAATTGCAACTCTATTAAATGATAAGAAGTAAAAGTGGATGGTTCATGACAAGAATCTTGCAGATTACAAGATTCTTATGGGTCTTTTTCTTGAGTGTTGATTCTCCTTTGATTTTGGGACTGTATATTTTCAATTCCTAAGCCTTGGCAATTATGAATTGCAGCATATTTGATGTCAGAGATGAAAGAAGCATACATAGATACGTTCGTCGTACATAGATGTTTTTGACGAATCACTAACGACAGAGGTTTTATTCATAATTCAAGTGTTCATTCAAAGGTGTAGCTCTTTATTCAGTGGGTGGTGACATTCGTTGAGCACGGCTGACTCGGTCAGCATCAATATATTTACCTAGGGACTGAACTAACTAAAGGTGGTCACGAGCACAAAATCAGCCAGCATTATTAATTCACTTATTGGACCCATTTACGTACTTTCTAACTCTCTCTTACCCAAATCGCACTCTTACCAGGTTAGCGCTTAGGGCCCAATGTTACTTCTAGAAAACCAAAGTACAATTTTGGCTGGCTGGCTATAAAACTAGTCATGATATACACCCAAATGTAAGATCTTACAGTGGTCAAAGTGCTGGTATGAAGAGAAAATTTAGAAAACTGTCATGCGTTATCCTTACCAAGTCTTCACTGCAGCTTACAAGCCCAATTCTACATTATTTCTTATGATCACCCATCTGCAAATAAGGAAAACGTGGCCTCAATACCCATTCCCCTGTCAGATATCGGTACTTTTTGTCATCAACACTTAAACGCTATACTCCTAATTATTTCACGGATTAACAAATCACTTTCTCCAACCTATGAATGGGTGATCAACCAAATTTGCCACTCATCTTTATATACTGATCAGGTGAAGCACCTAAAACACTTGCCTTTATATACTGATAGTTATTGCACTGCAAATAAACCACTTTGAGCCTTTTGGCTGCAAATGCATCAGTTTTCTCCTAGCAATCCCTTCTTATAAGTTATAACCTAAGTGGCTTCTCACATCGACATATGTTTAATAAGAAATAACATCCATGCCTAGCTCTTTCGCAAGCCGACGGTCTTCTTGGAAACAACCTCTTTACCTCCTGAGGCAGAGGAAAGGTCTATTCAAGGGTGGACCTACGAAGGCCCCAGCGGTGTCACATGTACCAGCTCAACAGATTTTCGCCAGTAGAACACTTTTAGATATGACAGGTGCACGAGCTAAACTTTAAAGGATGCTCTGGGATATTAGAAAATACAAGGGACATCAACCAAAAAACCGAAAAACTCTCTCGAAATCAACCAAATAAACCGAAAAAGTAAACTCGGAAAAAATAACTCGAAATGGTGGATTTCGACTAAAAACACATTGGACGACTTCGCGGGCCTTTGGCCCACCTTAAAGGTGCACCCACTCCTGGGTTTGTGTGCACCCTTGCACCTGATCCTGCTTCCAGGCCAGATATAAGGGTGTGTATGGTACGTGGGACAGGACAAGACAAGACAAAAACTTCTTGTCCCACGTCTGGTGCGACATGTGACAGGAGAGGAGAAGACAAAGTGAGACAAAAATACATTTTTACCCCACCAACAAAAACCAAGATCGGCCAAGATTGGTAAATTACCAAACTACCCATGTCAAACTAAAATCATAAACGGCTAAACCCATTTACAATTTTTCAGCCACCTTCATCACTCTCGCCCGTAACGTCCAGTCATGTCAGTGCCATAAGCATACCAACCACACCCTAATGGTTCTATTTTATTTGGTTTATCCATGCTTAGCTTTTCAACTGGTTTTAATTTATGTTCACTTTGGCAAGAGACTGAAAGTAGTCAAACTTACTCATACCTCCTATGGTTCCGAGCCCTTCTCTTTAACTACAAGTTATAACTGATTATCAGCATACCACATCCATGGAAAGCACCCCTCCCCAAAAGTATCAAGATTGACAACTAATTGATCACCAATGGCACAGAAGACAGCATACAACTCAATTGTTTCTTCCAATTTTTCGCACGCTTGGAACACCAACAGACTACCAGAAATCAACAAGAGGGATTATTTTGCTTTTAGGTATGCATTCACAGAGAATCTATTTATCACTAAGTATACCGAAGGCCAAGAGTAATGCAACACTTAATTGACTGTCATGTTGATCGTCCCTAAAACCAGTTAATTGTTTTCAAATGAAGTGGATTTTAGGTTTCTTTAGAGAAAACTAGATGAATTATACGACATTTAACAATGGGGAATGTGCCTATAACAATAGTTAACAGAGAAAAGAGGAAGATTCTGACCTTCCTCTTTGGAGTTCTTTGTGCATGGCGTCAATCTCCGCTTTGATCAGCGGAATTTGATGAGCTTTGGACCTCTCTTTAGCAAGGTCACCATGAACCTGATCCAACTTCTCATTAAGTTCTTTCCTCTCGGAACTCAATTTCTGTACATCTCCTCTGACCTGAACCAACTCAGCGCTTAATTCATCGATCAATCTGACTTCGGCCTCCATCTTGACGGCCTTCTCGTAGACCTCGCGCACTTCCGCATCTCTGTCGGCCTTGACGTTGCCGGCAGCAGAGGAGAGATGGCGGAGGTCCTGCAGCGCGAGGGAGAGTTCCTGTTTGAGTGCAACGTGAGTGGCGGCGAGACGTTGGTTGTCGACGAGGAGCGATTGAATTTCACGATGGTGGACGGCGATTCGGTCTTCGGCGGGGTGATGACGTGGAGGGGATTCACGTAGAGGACGGTGAGGGCGAGAATCTTGTCTGTATTTTAATGCATCTGATGAGATGTAATGCCTGCCGGACATTTTCACCGATTCCCTTCGCTTGTGGATACTTTGGAGGTTGTTCTATGGCGGTTCACGCAGTCCCGCCGTGTGCCGCCCCTCTCTGCTTTGTCTCCGGCGACTACTTATCGTTCGCTCGTATCACTCTTTATCCGTGTTAAATAACTAGTAAATTACAGACTTGGTCCTTATGGTTTGTAAAAATTATGAAAAGGGCTCCTAAACTTTATTCATTGCATTCTTAGTCGCTGTAGTTTGCAATTTGTTATATACAGTAATTCGTTGTTTTCCTTTTGTTAAGTGTCGGCCATCTCTCTCATATGAGGGTATTTTGGTCTTTTCACATCCCTAATTTTTAATATCTTTTATCACATTTCTCTACAACTATCCTTGATTGACGATTCCTTCATGACAACAGTTTTGGTTGAATTTGTTTAATGACGATCTCGATAAGTCCTGTAATTAGAGAGCCAAGTATGTAATATAAAAATGAACGATAAATAGGTATATATAAATATGCAAAATAGTAAATGACACATTGCAGCCGGTGATGTGAAAACCCCAATGCCAAAAATGAATAGAGATCCAGATTTATTTTAGTATACTATAAGCGTATCCGCGCAATGCAGCGAGATACATCGTGATTTTAATATTTCATTTTATTCTTTGTCTCGATCGATGTTATAATATGGCTTTATGTGATTTTGAGAAAGTGATGATGTTTTTATTTTTGAATAAAATATATGTTTGAAGATATCATAAAAATTTGACAAAAATAT